GCCCGGGGTGGCGGGGCTCCGGAACCACGGCAACACGTGCTTCATGAACGCCACGCTGCAGTGCCTCAGCAACACCGAGCTCTTCGCCGAGTACCTGGCGCTCGGCCAGTACCGGGCGGGGCGGCCCGAGCCCTCGCCTGACCCCGAGCAGCCTGCGGGCCGCGGCGCGCAGGGCCAGGGCGAGGTCACCGAGCAGCTGGCGCACCTGGTGCGGGCCCTCTGGACTCTGGAGTACACCCCGCAGCACAGCCGCGACTTCAAGGTGAGCCGAGTGGCGCCCTCCGCCCGAAGGACCCGGCACCCACCGCCGTGGGTCTTCCCCCCAGTCTCTGTCTGGGTAATCTGATGAGGTTTGCAGCCGGGTCTGGGGGACGTAACAGTGGTGGTCAAGGCGGTGCATTCACTCCTTATGCCACGGGTTGATTGTAAGGAAGGTGCGTCCGCCCGCCGGTCCGCTGCCCGTGAGTCCGTCCGTGCATCCACCCACCCACCCATCCACCCATCATAAGAACTCGCAGTGATGCCAGTTGCTGTGATGGGCAGGGCTGTGACCATGAGCAAGACGCTCGCTCTGCCTTCGTGGCACCGAGATCTTCCGGAGTGGGCTAGTGGATCCTGGCAAAGCCGAGAACTGCAGTTTGCTAGTACTCTTACCAGTAGTGTGGCTTTCGGCAACTTACCTCTTTGTACCAGTTTCTCATCTGGAACTGTGAACTGCGGGCAAGTTGTTAGGTTAGGTTGAACTCTTAAGAAATTACTCATTTTTCACCACTTGTGATTGACAGATTGGTATTTTTTTAAGGCTCAACCTCGTATACAAAATGCTTGAATTGTGTATTTGCTATTATTCTTATTATTAAAGACTAATAATTAACGAGATAATATCAGGTGGTAGTTTGAAGTGAGTCCAACCTGGTTGTGATTGCTGAGCTGGCAGGCTACCTTACACAGGAGAGGGAGCAGGGTCAGGCTCACCTCCTAGAAGAGGTAACTTTTTAGCTGAGACTAGTAGACCACAGAGAGAGGTGGTCTTGGGGAGGTCAGGGGAAGCTTGTCACAGCACAAGGAAAGGCAGGAAGTAGGGAGATGAAAGGAGCTTGGTGTTGCTAGGTGCAGTATATCTTTGGGGTGGGAAATTGAAAATGGTGAGATAGTATTTTAGTCTTTGCTGATGCAGAGACAAAAAAAGGATGTTATATTGGTTCTTATACAAGGAGAGAACAAATCCCCACAGCATTTTTAAAAAAGATTTATTTATTTATTCATATAGAACTGGGGTACAGGCCAGAGATGTGGAGGGTGAGAGGATTCACCAGAGATAGAATGGGGAGTAGAACAGGCAGATCAACGAAGTACACTGCTGAGGGGAGCAGCGGGCGGGTCAGGAGAGGTCTGCCTTGGGACATGTGGATCTCCTGGGGCAGGCGGGATCGAACTCATGGGGAAGTGGCTTAAGCTTCTTAGTGCTGTGCTTTAACCCTCTGGACCACCAGGGAGGGTCCCCCTACAGCATTTTATTGACCAAAAGAAACACATAATAATTGGGTATGGAATTTTTGTAATACAGGTCTAATGAGAAGAATGGGGTTCTTTTTTTTGGGTGGCCTAAGGTTAACTTAGTGGGAGTTCAGAATTACTGTTTGTTGTCATCCCTTTGAGTACAAATATTCATTTCTACAAACTGCTCTTTTCTGTTTTGCTGGTGAAACTGAAAGTCTAGAAGGGGAGGTGGGAACTGAGGTGAAGTGGGATGGTGGGTGTGGGGAGAGCTGGGTGGTGTATATTGCACTGAGGATTTGGGCTTTTTAAGCAAAGGAGGAAGGTGATTTGAGATGGAATGAGGAAAGGAGATGGCTGTGGGATGAAATGGAATGAAATCACACAGAGGGAAAGTAAATTCTTTTTCCAGTCTCCTCCTGTTCCCACCATTATGAGCAGAAGTTTCAGCTGGGGGGGTAGGCTGTCATTAACACCTCTTGCTCACTCCCCCACCTTTTTTTTTTTTTTTTGCCTCCTTCAACTAGGAGAACAAGCTCTGACTTCAGAGACTAAGGAGGCAGGAAAGCTAGGATTTAATAAGATTATGTTTTCATTTGGTTTGTTATTACATTTGTCTTCTATTTATGGCAAATGCTAACATCTTCCTTTGGTGCTATGAAGTTTTTTTCCCTAAAATATATACTTAAAAATCAATGATTTGACTAAAATATAAAATATTCTGTGTGAGGAGCCAGTACTTGGTTGAGGACCTGCTTTCTGCTTGAGGAACAGCATGGCCAGGGTGTAGTCCTGGCTTTTTAATAGATTTTCTTTCTTTCTTTCTTTGTGATATTCTGTCCTGTTTTTCTCAAAAAGAAAAGCATTGGTGCTGCTTGGTCTTAGAACTTTGAATGGAAGTATTTGATTGGGATAGGGACTGGAAGAAAAATGTCAAAGCCTCAAAAAAAAAAAAAAAGGCAACTCACTGGCTGAAAGACTGAAAGTCTTTCCTGGAATAGCCACAGCATTGCAAACCTTTCAAGGTCAGAGCCCAGTGTTTTAAGTTTGTTTTTCTCCTGTTTTCCAAAATATGAAAAATCAATTTCTATAGCATCTTTGTATATCAACATTTCCACTGCTTGTTTATAAAGGTTGCATTAACTTTTTTATCCATTAAGCCGTGAACAGAAATGGGTCAATAATTCTAGAAATGCAAAGACTGATTTATAAGCATGCCCTGGCAAAGTTGAACAGATTCTTAGAGGCCCTATTTTTTAAATTCTAGAAATACAGAGATTGACTTGTAGGTATGGTTTGGCCAAGTGGAACAGATTCTTAGAAGCCTTTTTTTTTTCTTTTTAAAAATAATTCAATCTTCTTAACCGCTAGATTTCATGTTGCCTTCATTCATTCATCTCCAGTGTATCAAAGATTTTCTTTGGAATAGATCCAGGACAAGCAGGAGGAAGTCCTAATGATGATGCCTTGAGCACCAAAGATGTTGACTTAGGTTATACTCTAAGTCTGAGGTACGCCATCCGGGTGCTGTGGTGACTTGATGGGCCCAGCAACTAACTAGACCATTTCTGTGTTCTGCTCTGTTGTGTTAGCAATTCTTAGTTTTTGTCCTTAGTGTTTGTCATTTCCCAGCTTTCTATCCAGCTGCGGCAGGACATTGTTAAGGAACCCTTTGATAGGCGTCTGACGTCTCATTCAGTGTAACCCTATCATGCAGCCACTCCTGGCTGCATCAGGACTGAAAGGTGGGCTAAGTATTTGGGTTTCCCCACCTTCTTAGCAAAGGAGGGGTTTGCCACTTAGTCTCCATGTATGTGCCGGGTACTTCTGTTTGGGGAGGACACCACCTGTCAAGAGCCGGGTCTCATGGGAACAGAAAAGTTCTTTCTTACATTCTGCTGTCTGCAGAATTCATCGTCTTTTTACCTTTGGTAGAGCTGGGGTGGGGCCCGAGAGACTGCATTCCCAGATAATGCCAGTGCTGTTGGTCCAAGGAACATCCTTTGAACAAGTAAAGCATCATATGCAGGGAAGTGTTCTAAGGATGAAGAGAAGTTTGCCAGGCATAGAAGTGGTAGAAGTTGCATGAAAGGGCATGCAGTTTTGGGGGATTAGAGAAACATTTGGTAGCTTACACCATGGAGAACTGTGGGAGTGCAGAATGCCCGGAGGAAGTCTATTGTAATGGGATTGGGGAGGCCTTTGTGGGTTCTGCTTTGGGAAGTGTTAGGCTTGATCCTCTGGAAGTTGAGACTCCAAGGCCAATGTTTGAAGTAGAGGAGTGATGGCATCAGATTTCTTTCTTTCTTAAACTACCCCTCTCCCCTTTGAGGTAATCCTGGTGGCACTGTGGAGGTGCCTTTGAGGTGTGACACCATGTCCCTGCACCGTGTCTATCAGTATGTTTGATGCAGCTTTTCTTTGCGCTTACACTCAGCCACAGAATCTGCTCAGTTTGGGGCTCCTGATTGCCATTACCAGTTGACAGAGGAGTTGGCAGAGGAGACAACACCAGTTTGCCATCTTGAGATGGCTTGCTTTGAGGTCTCAAAAGCACTTAGTATGTCTGTGCTTTTATCACTTTAGAACTTCCTTAAATGGCTACTTATTTTTCTTTGTTAGTTTTTCAACCAGACTTTGTTCTTACTTTCTAACCACATTGATTTGAACTTTAGGAACTTGCCAGAAAATGGGTTTTGGATAAGTTAGCTTGCTAAGATTGGATTTTCATTTCCTGGAATTAGATGAGTGAACAGGCCCAATCTTGTTGTACTTGAAAATTTACCCATGCCACCTACACCCTTTCACTTTTTTTTTTTTT